GAGAGAAAGCAGAGAGAGAGAGCGGAGAGGAGAAAGCATTCTTTTATGAGAGAGAGAGAAAGCAGAGAGAGAGAGAGAAAGCAGAGAGAGAGAGAGAGAAGAGAGAAGAGAAGAGAGAGAGAGTTGAGGAGAGAGTGAGAGAGAGCGAGAGTCCGAAGAGAGAGGAGTGAGACGAGAGAGAGAGAGAGAGAGAGTGAGAGAAGAAATGTAGAGAGAGAGAGAGAGCGAAGCAGAGAGAGAGAGAGGAGAGAGCGAGGAGATGAAGAGAGAAGCGCAGGAGAGAGAGAGAGAGAGTGAAAGCGAGAGAGAGAGAGAAAGCAGAGAGAGACGAGAGAAGCAGAGTGAGAGAGAGAGAGAGGAACAGCAGAGAGAGAGGAGAGAGAAAGAGAGAGAGAGAGGTTGAGAGAAAGCCAGAGAGGAGTGAGAGAGCAGCAGAGTGGAGAGAGAGAGAGAGTGAGGAGAGAGGGAGAGAGAGGAGAGAGAGAAAGCAGCGAGATAGAGAGAGAGGAGAGAGAGTGAGAGATCGAGAGTGAGAGGAATTAGGAGAGAGAGAGAGAGAGAGTGGAGACGAGGAGAGAGAGAGAGAGGCAGCAGAGAGAGAAAGAGGAGAGGAGTTGAGGGGGAGATGAGGAGAGAAGAGAGAGAGAGAGAGAGAGCGAGAGAGAGAGAGAAAGCAGGAGAGAGAGAGGAGAGAGAGGAAAGCGAGAGAGAGAGAGAGAGAGAGAGAGAAAGCGATTAGATGAAGAGAGAGAGAGAGAGAGAGAGGAGGATGAAGAGAGAGAGAGAGAGGGAGAGAGAGAGAGAGAAGAAAGCCAGAGGAGAGAGAGAGACAGCATAGAGAGAGAGAGAAAGCAGAGAGAGAGAGAGACCGAGAAGAAAGCAGAGAGAGAGGAGAGAGTGAGAAAAGCATAGAGGAGAGAGAGAGAGAGAAAGCAGAGAGAGAGAGGAGAGCAGAGAGAGAGAGAGAGATGAGAGAGAATGGAAGAGAGAGACGAGAGAGAGAAAGCAGCGAGATAGAGAGAGAGAGAGAGAGAGAGAGAGAGAGAGAGAGAGAGAGAGAGAGAGAGAGAGAGAGAGAGAGAAAGCAGAGAGAGAGAGAGAGGCAGAGAGAGAGAGAGATGAGAGAGAGAGAGAGAGAGAGAGAGAGAGAGAGAGAGAGAGAGAGAGAGAGAGAAAGCGAGAGAGAGAGAGAGAGAGAAAGCGAGAGAGAGAGAGAGAGAGAGAGAAAGCAGAGAGAGAGAGAGAGAGAGAGAGAGAGAGAGAGAGAGAGAGAGAGAGAGAGAGGGAGAGAGAGAGAGAGAAGAAAGCAGAGAGGGAGAGAGAGAGAGAGAGAGAGAGAGAGAGAGAGAGAGAGAGAGAGAGAGAGAGAGAGAGAGAGAGAGAGAGAAAGCAGAGAGAGGGAGAGAGAGAAAGCAGAGAGAGGGAGAGAGAGAAAGCAGAGAGAGAGATACAAGGCAAAGAAAGAGAGAGAAAGCAAAGAAAGAAAGAAAGAAAGAGAGAGAGAGAGAGAGAGAGAACAAAGAGAGGGAGATGGAGAGAAAGAGAACAAAGAGAGAGAGAGGGAGAGAAAGAGAACAAAGAGAGAGAGAGAGAGAGGGAGAGAAAGAGAACAAAGAGAGAGAGAGAGAGAGGGAGAGAAAGAGAACAAAGAGAGAGAGATGGAGAGAAAGAGAACAAAGAGAGAGAGATGGAGAGAAAGAGAACAAACAGAGAGAGATGGAGAGAAAGAGAACAAAGAGAGAGAGATGGAGAGAAAGAGAACAAAGAGAGAGAGAGGGAGAGAAAGAGAACAAAGAGAGAGAGAGAAAAAAAAGAGAGAGAAAGAACAAAGAGAGAGAGAGAGAACAAAGAGAGAGAGAGAAAGAACAGAGAGAGAGAGAGGGAGAGAGAGAGAGAGAGAGAGAGAGAGAGAGAGAAAGCAGAGAGAGAGAGAAGGCAAAGAAAGAAAGAGAGAAAAAGCAAAGAAAGAGAAAGAGAGAGAGGGAGAGAGAGAGAGAGAGAGAGAGAACAAAGAGAGAGAGAGAGAGAGAGAGAGAGAGAGAGAGAGAGAGAGAGAGAGAGAGAGAGAGAGAGAGAGAGAGAAAGAACAAAGAGAGAGAGAGAGAGAGAAAGAACAAAGAGAGAGAGAGAGAGAGAGAGAGAACAAAGAGAGAGAGAGAGAGAAAGAACAAAGAGAGAGAGAGAGAGAAAGAACAAAGAGAGAGAGAGAGAGAGAAAGAACAAAGAGAGAGAGAGAGAGAGAAAGAACAAAGAGAAAGAGAGAGAGAGAGAGAGAGAGAGAGAGAGAGAGAGAGAGAGAGAGAGAGAGAGAGAGAGAGAGAGAGAGGAGAGAGAGAGAAGAGGAGAGAGAGAGAGAGAAAGAGGAGAGAGAGAGAGAAAGGGAGAGAGAGAGAAGGGAGAGAGAGAGAGAAAGGGAGGGAGAGAGAGAGAAAGAGGAGAGAGAGAAAGAGAAAGAGGAGAGAGAGAGAGAGAAAGAGGAGAGAGAGAGAGAGAAAGAGGAGAGAGAGAGAGAGAAAGAGGAGAGAGAGAGAGAGAAAGAGGAGAGAGAGAGAGAGAAAGAGGAGAGAGAGAGAGAGAAAGAGGAGAGAGAGAGAGAGAAAGAGGAGAGAGAGAGAGAGAAAGCAGAGAGAGAGAGAGAGAGAAAGCAGAGAGAGAGAGAGAGAAAGCAGAGAGAGAGAGAGAAAGCAGAGAGAGAGAGAAAGCAGAGAGAGAGAGAAAGCAGAGAGAGAGAGAGAGAGAGAAAGCAGAGAGAGAGAGAGAGAGAAAGCAGAGAGAGAGAGAGAGAAAACAGAGAGAGAGAGAGAGAGAGAGAGAGGAGAGAGAGAGAGAGAGAGAGAGAGAGAGAGAGAGAGAGAGAGAGAGACAGAAAGCAGAGAGAAAGCAAAGAGAGAGAGAGAAAGAGAGAAAGAAAGAAAGAAAGAAAGAAAGAAAGAAAGAGAGAGAGAAAGCAAAGAGAAAGAGAAAAAAAGCAAAGAGAAAGAGAAAAAAAGCAAAGAGAGAAAAAGCAAAGAGGAAGAGAGAGAGAGAGAAAGCAAAGAGGGAGGGAGGGAGGGAGAGAGAGAGAGAGAGAAAGCAAAGAGGGAGAGGGAGAGGGAGAGAGCAAAGAGAGAGAGAGAGAGAGCAAAGAGAGAGAGAGAGAGAGAGAGAGAGAGAGAGAGAGAGAGAGAGAGAGAGAGAGAGAGAGAGAGAGAGAGAGTGAGAGAGAGAGAGGGGGGGGGAGAGAGAAGGGAGAGAGAAAGAGCAAGCAGAGAGCAGAGAGAAAGAGAGCAAGCAGAGAGCAGAGAGAGAGCAAACAGAGCAGAGAGAAAGGGAGCAAGCAGAGAGCAGAGAGAAAGAGAGCAAGCAGAGAGCAGAGAGAAAGAGAGATGAAGCAGAGTAGAGAGAGAGAGAGAGAGAGAGAAGAGAGAGAGAGGAGAGAGAGAGAGAGAGAGAGAGAGAGAGAGAGAGAGAGAGAGAGAGAGAGAGAGAGAGCAGAGAGAGAGCAGAGAGAGAGCAGAGAGAGAGCAGAGAGAGAGCAGAGAGAGAGAGAGAGCAGAGAGAGAGCAGAGAGAGAGAGAGAGCAGAGAGAGAGAGAGAGAGAGAGCAGAGAGAGAGAGAGAGAGAGAGAGAGCAGAGAGAGAGAGAGAGAGAGAGAGAGCAGAGAGAGAGAGAGAGAACAGAGAGAGAGAGAGAGAGCAGAGAGAGAGAGAGAGAGAGAGCACAGAGAGAGAGAGAGAGAGAGAGAGAGAGAGAGAGAGAGAGCAGAGAGAGAGAGAGAGAGAGAGAGAGAGAGAGAGAGAGCAGAGAGAGAGAGAGAGTAGCAGAGAGAGAAGTAGAGCGCGACAAGCAGAGCGAGAGAGAGCAGAGCAGTAGAGAGAGAGAGACGAGAGACGAGAGAGAGAGGAGATTGAAGAGGAGAGAGAGAGAGAGAGAGATGAGAGAGAGAAGCTGAGCAGAGAGAGAGAGAGAATGCAAGGAAGCAGAGAGAGAGAATACAAGCACGCAGAGAGAGAGAATACAAGCAACGCAAGGAGAGAGAGAGAGAGAGAGAGAGAGAGAGAGAAAGCAGAGAGAAAGAGAGAGGAAGCAGAGAGAACGAGAGAGCAAGCAGAGAGAACGAGAGAGCAAGCAGAGAGAACGAGAGAGCAAGCAGAGAGAACGAGAGAGCAAGCAGAGAGAGAATACAAGCAAGCAGAGAGAGAGAATACAAGCAAGCAGAGAGAGAGAATACAAGCAAGCAGAGAGAGAGAGAGAGAGAGAGAGAGAAGAGAGAGAGAGAGAGAGAGAGAGAGAGAGAGAGAGAGAGAGAGAGAGAGAATGCAAGCAAGCAGAAAGAGAAAGCAGAGAGAGAGATTGAGAGCAAGCTGAGAGAGAGAGAGAGAGAGAGAGAGAGAGAGAGAGAGAGAGAGAGAGAGAGAGAGAGAGAGAGAGAGAGAGAGAGAGAGAGAGAGAGAGGGAGAGAGAGAGAGAGGGAGAGAGAGAGAGAGGGGGGGGGGGATAGATAGAGAAAAGGAGGAGGGAGAGGAAGTGTGAGAGGGAGAGAGAGGCATTGAGAGCAAGCAGAGAGAGAGATTGAGAGCAAGCAGAGAGAGAGAGGGAGAGCAAGCTGAGAGAAAGATAGAGCAAGCAGAGAGAGAGAGAGAGAGAGAGAGAGAGAGAGAGAGAGAGAGAGAGAGAGAGAGAGAGAGAGAGAGAGAGAGAGAGAGAGAGAGAGAGAGGTAGATAGATAGAGATAAGGAGGAGGGAGAGGAAGTGTGAGAGGGAGAGAGAGAGATTTATACATATTCATATATATTTATATATATATATATTTATATGCATATATACATGTATATGTATTCATAAATATATTCATATGTATTATAAATTATATATATATATATAGAGGGAGAGAGAGATAGAGAGAACAGTGAGGAGAGAGAGCGGAGAAAGTGAGAGGGGCGGGGACATAGAGAGGGAGAGGGATAAAAGGAGAGAGACGGAGAGAGAGATGGGGGAGAGGGGGGAGAGAGGGGGGGAGGGAGGACAGAGAAAGAAAAGTTGAGAAAGTAGACGAAGGGCGAAGGGAGATAGAGTGACATTTATATTTACATTTACATTCACAATCACATTCACGGTCATATAAACGTACACACTCACAGTCTCCCGTACTTATAGTCCTGCCATAATGCATACGCTAGCATCCGGTATGGTAATTCCTGCGTACCTTACATATATGGAGTTTATTGACTGATTATCTATATGCACATCGAAGCCGTGGGAAACAAGAAATGAAATGGTGTCAAGGGACACTGCACTATCTGGCAGTACCTGGTACCGGACGCTATGACGCAATGCATCCTGCTGCTTATAACTGGATTACTAATTATTTTAGAGCAAATTTCCTGAATATGCAAATCTATGCAAACATTACAATGAACTACAATTAAGAATATGAACTCTACAGGAACTGAATTCGAATAAAAATTAAAATCCTTAAATTAAATATATGTATCTTTAAAACTAATGGAAAGACGAAAATATTTTCAACCAAGATACTATTACCATTAAGTGTGGATACACAGTTTCACGCTAACTGCATATAGGAACACATATGGTCAGCCATCAGGAAAAGGAAT